CATATTACCCCGGTGTAAGAGTGCGCAGTTCAAAGCACGCAATGCACAAGGTCAAAATAGTTTCGGTAATTACGCATGAGCCAAACCGAGCGAACTGAGCCGAGATGCAGATCAAGTGGTGTCAGCCTCGCAGCAGCGATGGCATCATTCTCCCACGCGTCCGCGCACCCGCGCGTCCCTCGGCCTGGCGCGGTCCGCCGCGCCCAAATAAAGCCACGCGCGCACGCCCGCGGCCCGAGGACGCGGCGCGGCGCCGAAAAGGGGTCACGCCGACCACGCGGCGTGCTACTGTATAAATAGTAAGGCAGGCCAGTTCTCGGGGCAGTTCGGCACCATCTCAGCAGCAGACTTCACGTCGGTTCTCGCCAGGCCCTGCGTGGCCATGAAGGCGTTTAGTGAGTATGGTGATGTGTAATGTGTCATGTGACGTGATTGTAAAGTGTCTTGTGAAGTGTCCGTGAACCCCCACGCTGCGGAGACGCCGTGTATTCGGCGGTCCCCGCCCGAAGCGCGTCCTCGGTATAAAAGCCGCGGGACCGCATGACCACAGAGAGTAAGCCAGGACGCGACGCCTAGAACGGACAAGATAGAAGAATACTCCAGAGCCAGCGACCGACCTCATGGGCTGTCTCGACACGCCATGAGAATATTCAGTGAACATCATCGTTATACCCCATAAGATGTTTGTATACGTGTGTATTAGAGTAAGTAACAGTGTACGAATAAATAGTAGCTAAGCCATGTTCAAGTGTTGATTAATGCCACGTTCTTACGCCCTTATTAAGAGTTCATATTATCAAAGGTCAAAACACAAAGATAAAGTGAGAAACGATCATATTGATCACGCTACGCTACCTTTACACTTTCACCGAATGATAAGCCAGAAGGCAACTATAAAATGGATAAACCCCAGTTTCTCACACCGGCTTGCGGTACTGTCCGACAGAGCGCCTGCGAACTCGGCCATTGGCAGTCCGCACGGCAGCCCTGCGCAGCGGGACAGCCTACCTCGGCGTCTGCAGGCGTTCCCCACTGCAGCGGGTGGACGGGGCTCGGATCTCGGGTGGCTCGCGGTGCCAGAGGCTTGCCGGGCTTGCCAGGCGACGCGTCCAGAGACGGGAGATGACGCTCTAGGAAGGCAGCCCGAGCGCGGTGGACCGGAACGCCGGGAACGCCTCCCAGGTCGCATTTCGCCATCAGCACGCATCACGCGAACGCATCACGCGAACGCATCACGTGACTGCGAGCAGCAGAGCGACTCGAAAGCAACGCTCTGTCTCTGTTGCGCTCGCGGCGCGTGGCGTGCGGGTGCGAGAGAGGCAGAATGCGGAGTGGAAAAGCAAACGCGTCCTGGAGACGGAACGGCTGCGCGCGGGGCTGCAGCTGGAAAAGGAGTCCCGGACAAATGGCGACGAAGACAGCGAAGCTGCTGTCCGAGAGTCGTTGCCGCCGCCGTCTCTCTCGCACCCGTACGGGACGCCGCACGAGTGTGAGAGAGACAGAACGACCCTCAGTGTGCAGCCGGAGGCGCCAAGCCAAGTTTGGCGCCAAACGGAGGGAAGAGAGGACGGCGACGTGGAAGCGATGCGGGAACGCGGATTCAGCCGAAGGGGATGCGCGTGGCGGCACGGCAGCGCGGCGGCGTGGGAAGATTGAGGATGCTTCTCGTCGGGCTCCAAATGTCAGCCCCTCTCCCCGGTGCTCCGTCTCTCTCTCTCTCTCTCTCTCTCTCTCTCTCTCTCTCTCTCTCTCTCTCTCTCTCTCTCTCTCTCTCTCTCTCTCTCTCTCCAGCAGCGAGAGGGATTTGGAGAGGGAAGTACCCGCGGACCGCTACGCCCCGCCACGCCACGCCCTGTTTATTGTGACATGTGACTCCGCGGGGGATTGGTGCGACGCGAGGCCCGTCGTCGCGATTCGAGCAGCGCGCGTCTTTTTGCACGTCATTACACTGCCAGACTGACGCTGCCGAGGGGGTAACGACTTCGGGAATCCGGCTGACAGCAAATTGGTAATCCGTAATCCGATCCCGAATTTTGAGGTAATCCGGGGAACCGGGAAATTTTGAGGTAATCCGGGGTAATCCTGTTAAATCCAAGGTAATCCAGGAATTTTTTGTTGTAATCCGGAGGTAATTTGGGGGTAATCCGGGGTAATCCGGGGTAATCAGTAATCCGGCTGACACGAAATTTACCAGTCGTAACCCCCTCGGACGCTGCACAAAACTTGCGCGACGCAAAAGAAAAAAAAGGAACACGAAAAAAAAGTTTTTAACAATGTGAGTTGTTGCGTCGGTTCCGTCTGCTGACATTGCGCTGTGCACGAGTGGAGCGTGGAGCAGTACTGCACGTGCTGTACCCCCCCCCCTCCCCCCTTTTCTCGCTCGTGCAGCGTTCCTCACATTCCTACGCAGATTCGATTACATGGACGATCATTTTTGTTTATTATTTCGCTGCTGATCTGACCTCACGGTAAGTCAATCTCCTGGTCTCAAGAAGATCTCCTGGGATTCTGAGAAACATCGGTTGATGTCTAAGAAACGGTCTCTCTCTCTTCCTCTCTCTCTCTCTCTCTCTCTCTCTCTCTCTCTCTCTCTCTCTTTTACTGCCTCGAATTCTTCTCGGAACGAGTGAAAAGTTCGATGGGTTGACTCGCGCGTCTTCTCCGCGGGGGGGGGGGGAGGCTTTCCATATTCACCGAGCCTCTGCTTCGCTGGAGAGTCTTTTCTCCGCCACCCCACCTGTTGTCGCGCGGCCTGCTCGCGAATGCAAACGCGACTCGGGAATTCGCGTTTCGTTTATTAAAAAAGAAGAGAGAGAAGAGGTGAGGAAACTGCTTAATAAGGTGAGGCATCAGTGTCTGACCACACAACGAGTCCTTTTGTCGAGAGTAACAGCCTCCCGTTTTTTGTTGTGTGCCATCTTGGCTGCCAGCAGATTAATAAAAAAGAGAAGAAGACTGTGATGATGCAGTAACGAAGCTGAGATGCGGGAGGAACGAAGTGGCACCGAAGGCACCACTGAACAGTAGGCTGGTGGAGGCGGCCAAAACTCTAGACGCGTTTTGAGTGTCAGATTCACCAAATAGGACTGGAATCAAACTTGTGACCCCATCAATGGATTCCTCGTTCGGAGAGCAAACCATTGATGGGGTCACACGTTAAGTCCCATTACTCGGGAGCTCAAAATTCTTTTCGAATTTTGGCCGCCTTCACCGGTTTTCCGCGCTGCAGCGGCAGAACTAAATGAAGCAAAAGAAAGGGGTGGGTGAAGTAGCAGTGACAGGAAGGGCCCAAACGAAGGCCTCCGGCTGAATCTATCGAGTTGTAGCAGCGCCGTAGGGGCCTTTGGATTCTCCGCGACTCCAGGCCGGTCTCCTCTCACTCTTGGGTGGCTCGGCACCTCCAGGCTGCCCCCCCTTCCCCCGGACCCCTCCTTCCTGACCGGGCCGTCTAGTTTGGCGCTCTATTGCCATCTTTTTTCCCGTCTCCTCGGTGCGAGAAAGTTCTGGCACTGCGTGTCTGCTTTGGCTCGTGCTTTATTAGGCTGCTTCGCCTTGGCTCGGCAGCAGCGGACCGGTGACGACGTCAAGCAACAGAGCCGCTTTAGATACTTTTTATTATCCCCCATCCTCGTCCCACTCGCTCTTCTTCGTCTTCTCTCCCTCTCTCTCTCTCTCTCTCTCTCTCTCTCTCTCTCTCTCTCTCTCTCTTCCTCCCCTCAGTGATAAAAGTGGCTGGCTGCAGCGTTCCGCCCGCTTTGTCTTTTCGCCCCGTCAAGGTGATTAAAGTACAAAGTAGGAACCGCGCGAAAGAGAGCGTCGCGGGGAGTCGAACCCGCGCCCATCGGCAGCGTGTCTGCCAAGGCTGATTATCGCCGTAATGACTAGTCATTGCCGGCGGGGGACGCTGGATTATGTCCCAAACAAGATGGGAGAATTAAGTACATAAAGCAATCAGAAGGACGGAAGCACAATGACGTTTCCTCTGCCGCCAACTTTATCTTTGGCTTTCAGATTGTTTCGTTGTGAATCAATAAAAAAGAGTTCCCGCCCCCTTCCTCTTCTGAGGCGCGAAGCGATGGAAAAATAAAATTATTTCGAATCCTTCTCTCAGCAGCCTAAACAGTAGAGATTCAACACAGCCGGAATGCACACCCCTTCAGAATTTGAGGGTTCCAAGCGCTTTCATTTACTTTGCGACGACGGACGGGGAAAACCTCGGCGCTGCTGCCGCGCCAGCCGGACTTCGTCTTTCTGCATTGTATCTCCGCTGCCTTTGTCGTACCGCTTGAGACATTCGCTCAGCCTTCATTATTATTATACCCGCATTGCGAGGGCTACCAGTGGCGGAGCGCGCTGAAGTCTACTTCATTTGCATAATGGCGGCACGTTGGAACTTCGTCATTTCGGATCACAGAGCGGTGCACCTGGAAAAAACAGTAAATTAAATTTTACACGGTAAAAACGGTACCTGGTTTTCCCAGGAACCCCCTGGAAATCGCCTATGCCTTTACTGGGAAAACCAGGTACGGTTTCTGCCGTGTAGGGAAGGACTCTCTTTCCAGCTATCATGCCGTTATGTTGTTGAGTCTAAAAGAGGTCAGTTTTCCTTCTGAATGCTGTGGTCCTGACGCCTCCTTGCTGGGGCAACTGTCCACCTCGCTGGCCTGGCCTGGTCTGGCGGCGTCGGGCGGCCTGGAGGGCGACGGTCGGCGCCAGGCCGGGCTTCGAATTGGATTTGCGAGGTTCGACACGCCACGAAACCTAATTGAAATGTCATTTTCACCGAGCCACGCGTGAGGTTGTGCACATAATTAGCTGGCGTTCATCACCGCGTCCCCCTCCGCTCGTCCTCGCGGCGACTGCGCAGTGGCGGCGCGCTGGCGGCGCTGGCAGCCGGCTGGCGGGGGGTGGGGGTGGCTGGGCCAGGCTAGGCCTCGCTGCTCCTGGCCCGCTGCTCCCCCCGCCGACGCCCCGACGCCCCGACCACTTGTTGGCAGAGAGCTGGCGAAGCCGGAGGTGTACGCACGTCGCGCGTAGCAGCAGTGGCAGCCGTGTGTGTGTGTGTCTGTGTGTGTGTCCGCGGTCGGGTGTGTGCGTGCCGCGAGGGGCACGCCGCGACGGTCTTCCGCCGAGTTAGTGCGTGTGTCGTTTGAGTGCTTCGGACAGACCCCTGCCTGCGTCTTTCCGCCGCCACTTTCGACGTCAACAGGTACAGTGCAGCACTGCTATTGGGCGCCAGTCTAGCAAAGGGATGGTGGCTGTCAACGGGCGGTTAAAAAAAAGACAACTTTATTTTTGGAAGTTTTTGTCATTTTTTAGACACTGAAGTGTTGGGAGGCGCCCTTCCCCTCGCAAAAAAAAATCGTGTTGAGACTGCAGCAGTTTAAAATCGTAGTAAGAGTGTTTCCCTTTCAATATAGGAGATTTAATCCGTTAACTGGTTGTGTGCTCTAACCTATGCCAGAATTCCGTACATAAGTTTACCGACTCGAACTGTGCCATGCGTGCCATTGGTGGTGAACCGATGATGTTGGAATCCCACATTCTTCATTCCTTAACTGTCCATGACGCGCAAGAGGGTCCACCAGCAGGTTCATTTCTCCAGAGGCACTATCGACTCTCTTTCGGGTGCACTGGTCCGTCAAGGCGGCAAGGTGGCCCACTTTCATATCCGTGACCTCATCCCATTATAAAAGCAGGGCGGGGTGGCGCGTCTGCGCCGGCGCCCGAACGCTTCCCTCGGGAAGAGTGTCGCCCCCTTTCTTTTGTTTAGCGATTCGCTTTTGCGAACGCCAAGCGTCTCGCTGTGCTTTTCTCGCCTCTCTTGAACAGAGTGTATTTGTTGGAGCTGATGGCCCGTGAGTCCTTGTCGTTCTTCCACCGATCCGCCATGAACCATGTGGCCCTGATATGCGTGAACGGCAGGGGCCCTTTTTTCCCGCCCTTTCCGACTGTCCATTAGGGCCACCGTTTCGTCCCATCGCGATGCGCATTATTATATTGATTTCGGTTTTTATGGTCGAATCAGCTCGCCGCTGTCAATGCGGGTCCGTTCCAAGGTCAGGCCCTCCGGACACAGCTACCCCGACTACGCTCCGCTGCGTACGCGCGCCCAGTTGCCCCACTCATACTCCCTCGCTCCCGTTTTTATTATTCAGACGTTTTTTAAAATTCAAGACTTGATTGCGAATTACCTTATTTATGTGAGGATTTTCCCCAGGAAACCGAGTGCAGTATAAAGAACACATTAACCTGAATATTCCCAAGGGCATGTCCAGCCCATTCCTTCGCGCTTCCCAGACCCTTCGATCCCATGCTCGGTCCCTCTCACTCTTTCTCTCTCCTTCTTTTCGGGTTCTCTTCCCCCATGATTGGCCGTCGAGTTGTCGTAAGCCTCGAGTAAAGTTTGCGGAGTAACGCCATGGTGACAGATCTCTCTCTACCTCCCTCCCTCCCTCCCTCTCTCTCTCTCTCTCTCTCTCTCTCTCTCTCTCTCTCTCTGATTCGTTCTCACAGACCCCACGTCGAAAACTATGTTTCAAGGTCCAATCAGTGGCTGCAAGCCATACCGAGGCCAACTCCATTCGGAGCCGATTGTTAGCAGAGCGTGGCTTCGTGTCGGGGGGGATTAACACGCGCGCCCGTGTGTGTGTGTGTGTGTGTGTGTGTGTGAGTGTGTGTGTGTGTTGCGTTTGTGCGTGCGCGTGCCAAGAGCTTGGGATGAATGCGAGGGTTTAAAATCATGGTTTAGATTATACATGTCAAGGACGCGCTTGAGGCCCGAGGCCTTGTGCGGACCGAGATGTGACTAAAGACATTCGGTCCGAGGAATTCTCTCGCCACCCACAGTCGCTGCAGGCACACCCTTAACCTCCAATAATGCGCGTTGGAAAACATGGCAAAGCATTATCCAGAGAACGAGCAAGGCGCCAATTTATTGGTTCGAGCTTCGCGGCTGTCGCTCCGTCCCCCTCGCACTCTGTGACGCCCCTCTGGTCCGAGAGAGACAGAGCGACGGAAGCACTGCCCGCCACGCAGCCGCTTGCAGAGCGCTAAGATCGCTCGGTGCTTTATTTCCCGTTGGCAGCCCCCGGGGCCCGGCCTCACAGTGGGCCAGAAGACCGGTGGAGGCGGCCAAAATTCTCGACGCGTTTTCGAGCTCCAGAGGCGCTAAATGGGACTCGAACCGAAAGTGTGACCAGACCGACGGATTGCTCTGCGAACGAGGAATCCATTGGTGTGGTCACACGTTCGGTTCGAGTCCCATTTCGGGACACTGTGCCTCAAATCGCGTCTGGAGTTTTGTCCGCCTCCACCGGTCTTCTGGCCCACTGTGGGCCTGGCTGGCCTGCCTGGCCCACGCGCGAAAACGGCAGTCCATTTTCTGAGACAATGGCGACGGAGGGGCTCCGCTTTCGGACGGCCGGGCTTCAGCGGGGGCCGGCGGGGGCCTTTCGGCGGCGGCTTGCGTCCCGTGGATTTGTGAGCCCCCCCCCCTCCCCCTCGCCACCTCCGGTTCCTTTCGGCGATTTATTTCGGCGGACTATGTAGCGCCAGTTAGTTTGATTCAGAGCGGGCCGCGGCGGCCGGAACCCCGCGGGCCTCTCGGCGGCAATGGGTCGTCGCGGCGGTTCGATAACATTATTATTGCTTTTCGGCTTTTCGCGCCTTTTCCCGGCGTCTCATTCCGCGCGCCTGGCGACGCTCGGCGGTTTCGCTTGGCAGACCTTCTGTCTCCCTCGAACCCATGCAGGATGCCCCGTGAGTGCGGGACAGACAGAGCGACGAAAACGACTCTCTGAACCAGTCTGCTGGAGCGGGTAAAGCGCAGTGCGCGAGGATTGACGTGGCAGAAAACAAAAAAAAGAGCAGTCACATTTTTTTTTCATTTTTTGCTTTTCTTTAATATCTGTTGGAGACGAGGCGGCTAAAGGGTGGATCCAGAGATAGTTCTTTTTCTGGGGTGGGGTGGACTGTCACATGGTTGCTTATACATGGGCCAACTGCAGCTCTGCCAGGCTTGAAGTTTTTTTTTTTTTTTTGTTTTTTCATATTTTTAACTGTGTGAGTAGTAGTTAAAATGCAGCCTGCATACAAAGTAATATGAAATGCCCCTCGCGCGACTTGGTGGTGTCTGGCCCACTAACTAGTGCCACAAGAAGTGTCTGCTAACCCGAATCTCGTCGGCGGCGCCCCCCCTCCCCCTCCTTTCTCTCGCTATTTGCTTTTGTTGCTTTCGGCTCGTTTGGGACACAATGGCGGGCGACGATAGTTGTTGATATGGCTGTAAGTCTGGCTGCTATCGGGTCGACATTGCCACCGCTCGAGGGGGGTGGGTGGTGACGCAGGGCCGGGGTGGGGCTTGGAGGGTGCACAGAACGAGCCGGCCAAGACAATGGCTCAATTGATACCTGGAAAATGTGAAATGTGGGTGTGGAAAATCGTAGATCCGATCGCACCCGCACACCTAGATTCTTCGTTCATAGCGCAAGCTCACGGGCAGACAGTTAACACTACACAACACTCAGCTTAGAAAAAAAAATATGCAATAAATACACTGCAGTGGTAAGTTTACTTGCCACGAATTTGGCAAACCGTTTACAATTCCAAAATTTGGCAAGCTAGGGGGTATTTCTGGGCCAAGCTTTCCAATTTTTAGCATTCAAAACGGCTCGCCAAATTTGTGGCAAGTAAAGTTACCACTGGATTTGCAGTGTACGTAACTTTGTTAGTTTCGTAACAACTTCAAAAAAAAAAAAGTCGTGTGCCTAAAAGCTTGTCGTGTGCACTGCTGGCGTGACCTTGAAGGAACGGAGTCGAGGTTTTTACCCACTTTTTGCGTTTCAACGAGTTCTTTGTCGCGCCGACAGATTTTTCTCTTGAACCAACAAATTATTCTCTGCACAGTTACTTTTTTTTAATTTTGCTCTTACCGGATCAATAAAAATAAATAAATGGGATCGACGATTTTCTTTTCTTGGTTCGTTGCGTGAAACGCGCTCCGACTGACGCGACATTCCCAGCGGAAACCGTCTAAGGGCCGAAAAGACGCGGCGGAAGGCGCGCCGAGAGAGCGGCGCTCCACGCCCTCGCGATGCACGCTGTGGCCTCGTGTCGCGCAGTGGCGTGCCCTTGACAGTGTGCTGCACACGACGGCACGCGGCCGGGGAGGAGCAAGGCAACGCGCCGGCCGTGCTGGATTGTGGAGCGTCTCGAGTTTCATCTCTCTCGCTCACCCCATCAGCCCCGCAACACGCGCTCCCTCCACACACACACACAGACACACACACACACACACCACACGCACACACACACACACACACACACACAACACACACACACACACACACACCGATGAGAGACGCCCACACAGAGTCCTGTGTGTGTACGCGATTCGGATGGCCGGAATGTCTTCTTCTTCTTCTTCTTCTTCTTCTTCTTCTTCTTCTTCTTCTTCTTCTTCTTCTTCTTCTTCTTCTTCTTCCCGTTCCCCACCCCCTCCCCCTTTGTCTCTAGCCAATCAGTACAGCCATAAGGGCTACGGACGGCCTATCGGCGGGGGGTTATCGTGGACATGGACAGTGCGACACCTCGTCGGAACAAGCGGCTATCTCCAAAGGGAGAGCAGACAAACGGCTATCTGTGAAGGAGCTGCAGACAATCGGCTATCTTTTTGACCCCCTGCAGACAAACGGCTAACTGACTTTTCGGGAGAGGTTAGGGTTGGCCGGGTTCCTTGAGTTTTTCTCAGGTTAGACGCACGTGACAGACTCATGTTGTGTGTCAATCTGCTCTGACAAACTTTTGACATCTGTTGGATAAGGTCAAATTTGACAGGCTCAATTGATTGTACATATATAAGTATCCAAACTCGGGAAGTGGAGAAAACAGTTAGCCGTTTGTCTGCAGGGGGTCAAAAAGATAGCCGTTTGTCTGCAGCACTTTCACAGATAGCCGTTTGTCTGCAGGGGGTCAAAAAGATAGCCGTTTGTCTGCAGCACTTTCACAGATAGCCGTTTGTCTGCAGGGGGTCAAAAAGATAGCCGTTTGTCTGCAGCACTTTCACAGATAGCCGTTTGTCTGCAGGGGGTCAAAAAGATAGCCGTTTGTCTGCAGCACTTTCACAGATAGCCGTTTGTCTGCAGGGGGTCAAAAGATAGCCGTTTGTCTGCAGCACTTTCACAGATAGCCGTTGTCTGCAGGGGGTCA